TTATGGACATCTGTATCATTAGCACACATAAAAACAATTAACCTAAAATCCAGACACACTTGATTGACTGGTACCTGTGACATAAAAGTTGGTAAGCCTTGCAAAAGAAAACCTGTTTTGCGTGTAAACTTGTTCTTTGGGTGAAGACATCAAATCATTCTGTAACTTCATGGTCTGTTGAGTTTCACCTGTATCTGACATGTGGTTCCCTTTTCACTTTGAAACATTAGTTTTCCTCCTGAAAATTATATTTGCTCACAAAAATCTCTTTACTTTGTAGTAACATTGGGCTAGAGACAGAGGTATTCTGTGATTTCTTATGAAGAAAACTGTAAAGCCAATAAAACTGGCTTCGGTGCTTTAACGAAACAACATATGTAGTCTTCGTTTCTTTTTTTAAAAAAAGAAAAAAATGAACATATATGTTAACATATATTGAGTACTTAACACATTTAGGACCTGAGCTGAATACATGCATTATGCTGTGTAATCCCGAACAGCCCAGTGAAATAGTGGCATTAGGACCTCAATTTTACATGTGAATGAACTGATGTTTCAAGGTTATATGGCTAGTACAAAACAGAAACTGGACTCAACCATGTTTCTAATGTCTGCCGTCACTATGCTGTGGGAATGCATCCTTGCCATCCATATACATGTATAGAGATACTGAGAATGTTAAAATGGTTACTGCTGGGGGATGGGATTATGGATATATTTGCTTTTTTGTTGAAACTTTATGCCTGGTTTGGGTTTTCCATGGTGAGCATGAATTTTCCCTTTCAGAAAGACTTAGTATCTTCTCTTTATCTCTAGGCTTCTAAAATTAGAATAATGTACTTTGACATTGAGTGGGCTCTTTCATTATGGAGGTGCCTGTCCTTATGGGAAATTTTCTAATATAGTTTATTTGATAATTTCCCCCATCCATTTTGTTATTTTCTATGAAATGCCTGTATTAATCTCTAATGTTCTTGTCTTTTCTGTCTAGTTCACCATTTTTTCCTATTTCCTGTATCAGTTCCTAAGCATACCCACCAACTTTTCTATTAAATATTTTATTTCAGGCCAGGTGCAGTGGCTCACGCCTGAAATCCCTGCCCTTTGGGAGAAGTGGGCAGATTGCTTAAGCCCAGAAGTTTGATACTAGCCTAGGCAACATGGCAAGACTCCATCTCTACAAAAAAAATACAAAAATTAGCCGGGCATGGTGGCACGTGCCTGTAGTCCCAGCTACTTGGAAGGCTGAGGTGGGAGGATCACTTGAGCCCTGGGAAACAGGTTGCAGTGGGCCGAGATCATGCCACGGCACTCCAGCGTGGGTGACAGAGTGAGACCCTGTCTCAAGAAAAAAAAATTATGGCTGGGCGCAGTGGCTCACACCTATAATCCTAGCACTTTGAGAGCCTGAGGCGGGTGGATCACAAGGTCAGGAGTTCAAGACCAGCCTGGCCCAAACATGGTGAATCCCTGTCTCTACCAAAAATATTAGCTGGACATGGTGGTGGGCACCTGTAATCTCAGCTACTCGGGAGGCTGAGGCAGAGAATTGCTTGAACCTAGGAGGCGGAGGTTGCAGTGAGCTGAGATTGCACCACTGCACTGCAGCCTGGGGGACAGAGCAAGACTCTGTCTCAAAAAAAAAAAAATTATTTCAGCAATCATATTTTTAATTTCAAAAAAAAAAAAAAATCTTATTCTAGTTGTCTGCCCTCCTTTCATTTATTTATTTATTTATTTTTAGAAGGAGTTTGGATCTTGTCACCCAAGATGGAGTACTGGGATGCAATCCCAGCTCACTGCAACCTCGGCCTCCTGGGTTCAAGCAATTCTCCTGCCTCAGCCTCCCAAGTAGCTGGGATTACAAGCACCACGACCATGCCCAGCTAATTTTTGTATTTTAGTAGAGACAGGGTTTCACTATGTTGACCAGGCTGGTCTCAAACTCCTGATCTCAGGTGATCTGCCCACCTCGGCCTCCCAAAGTGCTGGGATTACAGTTGTGAGCCACTGCCCTAGCCCCACCTCCTTTTCATAGCATCTTACTTATTCATAGTTGTAATATCTTCTCTTGACTTGAAAGAAGTCAGTTTTAGTGTCTGCTCTTTCCATAGTTGTTTTCTCCAAGTTCTGTATGTTTTGTTATTTCATATATGTTAGAAACTTCCTCAAAAGTCATTTTAGTCTGTTCTCATGCTGCTAATAAGGACATAACCAAGAATGGGTAATTTATAAAGGAAAGAGGTTTGACTCACTGTTCCACATGACTGGGGAGGCCTCACAATCATGGCAGAAGGTGAATGAGGAGCAAAGTCACATCTTACATGGCGGCAGGCAAGAGAGCTTCTGCAGGGGAACTCCCATTTATAAAACCATCAGATCTCATGAGACTTACTACCATGAGAGCAGTATGGGGGAAACTGCCTTCATGATTCGGTTATCTCCACCTGGCCCTGCCTTTGACACATAGGAATTATTGCAATTTAAAGTGAGATTTGGGTGGGTACACAGGCAAACCATATCAAGTCTGATGACCCATGAGTGTTCTTTCCTAGTTTAGAGTATACAACTATGCTTCCTGGAAGCTGTGTGTGAGTAGGCAGGGCCTGTGGACGTGTATGCTTCACTGCATGGTTGGGTGGTCTTCCAGCTTTATGTTGGAGGATTCCCAGCTGTCAGCTTTGATAGGTCTTTTCTCTTTGGCCATTCTCTTTTCCAGAGAAGTGTTTTTCACTCTTCTGTTAGGGAGGTATAAATCTAGCTCCTGGAGTTCTGGGAGCTGGATGGCAGAAGAGAGCAAGGAACTTTTATTTGTTGCTGTTGTTTAGGCCCAATCTTCTCCTCTACCCTCGCTGTTTCCGCTATTTAAAATCCCAAGCCCATCCGGTTCAGTTTCTCCAAATAATAAGTGTCCAATTTCCTCTAGATGTGGGATAAGAAACAGAAATCTACCTGCTCTTAGGCAGAATGTCACCTTATCTCCCATGTTGCACCCTGTTCTCCACCCACACTTTCGGTAGCACCCAGTGCCTGTGGGTCCTGAACTTTACCTGCTCTGTTGACTTGCGTCTTATCTGTATTACCTCTGTGCCTGATGCCTCCTGTATCTCTGCTGCTGAGTCAGTTATTGTTCATTGATTTTCTGTACTTCTTTTTTATGACTTTGGTTATAGATATCTGTTCGTTTCATTGAAGAAGAGGTTTGTGATTTTTCTCATATTTTCTTGTTGATTGGACTGACTTCTGAGAGAAGGAGGGGCAAAAAGGTTTTCACTCTGCCATTTTCTGACTGGGGTAATTTTTGTTTTATAATAAAAAAAAAACAAAAAGCTGTTTTCATCTAGAGGGGAAATCAAGTTACACTACTCGCTGAGAAATTTAGGGCTAGGCTCAGTGGCTCACCCCTATAATCCCAGAACTTTCACTTGAACCCAGGAGTTCAAGACCAGCCTGGGCAACCGAAGGAGACTCTGTCTCTACAAAATAAATATTTTTAATTAGTCTTGCCGGTGGCACGTGTCTGTAGTCCCTGCTACTCCAGAGGCTGAGGCAGGAGAATGATTTGAGTCTGGGAGGTCAAGGCTGCAGTGAGCTGTGATCGCACCACTGTACTCCAGCCTGGGCGATAGAGACCATCTTAAAAAATAAATAAATAAATGTAATGAAATGGTAACAGTTATGACTAAGAAAGCATTATAATCACTGAAAGACTTTATAAGGAGACTTGGTTGCTTTTGAAGGTAGCAAGAAGTTTGAGAGAGAAATTGAAGTAGGGCCTTGGTAAAGGTGGGAATGTCGTCAAGAACACAGAGAGCTTAGCTCTCATATGGAAGTGAAGGAAGAGAAGGAAGACATGCCACAATTTAGAGGTAGCAAAGAGACAAGATTGGAGGTCACACTCAGAAGTGAAGTTCATTTAGTAAATAAGAGCGCCAAGCTTTTCAAACTTTAATAAATTACTCTTCATATTCTTCAGCCTACCTTGTTGCTTCTAGTTTTTGTTCAGTGGAATTTAGTCAGTGAACAGCCAAAGCATGCAGTTGAATACAATCTTGGCTATGCTAAGTGATGAAGTTTCTTTCAAAATTAGATAAGAAATATTTTTCCCTAAAGATCTTAAATGATTATATATCATTGAGCATATTAAATCAAAATACAGGTGTTCTTCCATATCCGTGGAGATTGGTTCTAGGACCCCTACAGATACCAAAGTCCATGGATGCTCAAATCCCTTAAAATAAAATGGAGTAATATTAGCACATAACATACCCCTGTCCTCCCAAATACTTTTAATCATTTCTAGATTACTTATCATACCTAATACAATATAAATGCTATGTAAAGAGTTGTTATACTGTATTGCTTTTAATTTATTAGTTTTTTTTTCCTTGAATATTTTCCATCTACAATTGGTTGAATCCAAGGATGGAGAACCCATGGATATGGAGGGCTGACTATAATAGCTATAATCACCAAATGGTGTTCTTTTTGGAGCTGGGGTAAGGCTGGGCGTGGTGGCTCACGCCTGTAATCCAAGCACTTTGGAGGCCAAGGTGGGCAGATCACCTGAGGTCGAGAGTTCAAGACCAGCCTGACCAACATGGTGAAACCCCGTCTTAATAAAAAAAAAAAAAAAAAAAGGAACTGGGGTCTCACTCTGTCATTCAGACAGGCGTGCAGTGGCACAATCACAGCTCACTGCAACCTCTGCCTCCCAAGCTGATACAATCCTCCCACCTTAGGCTCCCAAGTAGCTGAGACCACAGGCGTGTGCCACCACACGCAGCTAATTTTTTGTATTTTTGTTAGAGATGGGGTTTTGCCACATTGCCCAGGCTAGTCTCAAATTCCTTAGCTCAGGCAATCGACCCTCCCAAAATGCTGAGAATACAGACGTGAGCCACTGCACCCAGCCTTAGAAATAGTGTTCTTTATATGGCAAGTCTTTATTATTAGTTCACACTTTTAAGCACTTGCCAGTCATATTTTCCAATACAGATACTTGTTTCAAATTCTACTACTTTGAAAATGGATTCAAGTGTCTGTAGACATTTACTTGACTGTTGGGATTTTTTAAATTTTCCTCTGACATAATCAAACTTAATCATATCAGACTGTTGAGTATGACGGGATTTTTTTTTTTTTAGTTACAGAATTTATGTTTCATTTGCAAAAAAATTGAGATTATAGGACCCCTTTCCCCAGTTCCTGGCCTAAATCTTTTTTTTTTCTACCCCTACACCAAGACAGAGTCTTGCTCTGTCACCTAGTCTGGAGTGCAGTGGCGCCATCTCAGACCACTGCAACTTGGCCTCCTGGGTCAAGCAATTCTCCTGCCTCGGCTTCCTGAGTTGAGTAGTCGGGATTACAGGCTCCCGCCACAATGCTTGGCTGATTTTTGTATTTCTTTTTTTCCCCCCTTTTTTTAATTTTTTTTTTAAATAGAGGCAGGGTTTCACGGTGTTACCAGGACGGTCTCAATTTCCTGACCTCGTGATCCGCCCGCCTTGGCCTCCCACAATGCTGGAATTACAGGTGTGAGCCACCGTGCCTGGCCAATTTTTGTATTTCTAGTAGAGACAGGGTTTCACCATATTGGCCAGGCTGGTCTCAAACTCCTGACCTCGTGATCCACCTGCCTAGGCCTCCCAAAGTAAATTCCGTTTACAATCATTATTAGTCTTCATGAAACTCGGTATTTTACATTGCAAATTCGAGTATGTTTTACCAACTTCAGAGGAAAGGCAGTGCCTTATAGAAATTTATCTGATTGTATTTTCAAATATCAAGAATACAAAGGCGTATGTGTTTAAAATGGCAAATTTTTATCCAATTTTCTATTTTCTAAAAATTGCCTGAACTAATAGTAAAGTTGACCAGTTATTGAAGTGAGTTTAAAACACTGCATTGACAATGCTTACTGGGCATTTCTGTTGTTCAGTGGTGATTGTTTATTTAACAAATTCTTACAGCTTTACCACTTAAAATTGTTCATATTTTAATCAGTAGGGAAGGAAATATGGAGAAGGTGAAGGAACTGTGTAGGGTAGTAGTTTTCAAACACCAGCTCATGGATTTGTGTCTGTCTCCTACAAATAATTCACTGATCTGCTGTGAAATAAGGAAACTGTGGTAAGGAGAGATAAGCATAAGATATACTCCAGACTAGAAACTATTAAGATTTGCACATTTATTATGGTTGATAGAGGAGGCTTGGCTTTTTCTGTGTCACACTGAAAATTAGCTATGAGAAAGGAACTCTCTTCACTTTATGGCACTATTAAGTTATCATATATATTATATAGCATTTTATTTAAGTGGGAACAGACTTTTTCGTGTACTAACCATGCTTTTTCCTCTTGTGTCTAATTGAAGCTTAATATGTAAACTAGACAAGGTAGATGACAAATGGTTAATGGCTTTTTTTTTTCCTTTAGATACATCCAGAAAATGCCCAGAAGAAACTTCCTGCTGGAAAAATAGAAAAAGCAGTATTTATAACATTAGAATTTGTGGATAATTTGTTAAAATGGCAGAAAATAATGAAAATATTAGTAAAAATGTAGATGTAAGGCCCAAAACTAGTCGGAGCAGAAGTGCCGACAGAAAAGACGGTTATGTGTGGAGTGGAAAGAAGTTATCTTGGTCAAAAAAGAGTGAGAGTTGTTCAGATGCTGAAACAGTGAATGATATAGAGAAAACTGAAGTTTCTTTAAGGAACCAAGAAAGGAAGCACAGCTGTTCATCCATTGAGTTGGACTTAGATCATTCCTGTGGGCATAGATTTTTAGGCCGATCTCTTAAACAGAAACTGCAGGATGCTGTGGGGCAGTGTTTTCCAATAAAGAATTGTAGTAGTCGGCACTCTTCCGGGCTTCCATCTAAAAGGAAAATTCATATCAGTGAACTCATGTTAGATAAGTGTCCTTTCCCACCTCGATCAGATTTAGCCTTTAGGTGGCATTTTATTAAACGACACACTGCTCCTATAAATTCCAGATCAGATGAATGGGTAAGCACAGACTTGTCTCAGACTGAATTGAGGGATGGTCAGCTAAAACGAAGCAATGTGGAAGAAAATATAAACTGTTTCTCACATACCAATGTTCAGCCCTGTGTCATAACCACCAACAACATTTCGTGTAGAGAAGGTCCTATTACTGGCTCTGTGATGAACCTGGTTTCAAATAACAGTATAGAAGATAGTGATATGGATTCCGATGATGAAATTCTAACACTTTGCACAAGTTCCAGAAAAAGAAACAAACCCAAATGGGAATTGGATGATGAAATCCTGCAGTTGGAAACACCTCCTAAATACCACACACAGATTGATTATGTCCACTGTCTTGTACCAGACCTTCTTCAGATCAATAACAATCCATGTTACTGGGGAGTGATGGATAAATACGCAGCCGAAGCACTACTGGAAGGAAAACCAGAGGGTACCTTTTTACTTCGAGATTCAGCACAGGAAGACTATTTATTCTCTGTTAGTTTTAGACGCTATAGTCGTTCTCTTCATGCTAGAATTGAACAGTGGAATCACAACTTTAGCTTTGATGCACATGATCCCTGTGTCTTCCATTCTCCTGACATTACTGGGCTCCTAGAACATTATAAGGACCCAAGCGCCTGTATGTTCTTTGAACCACTTCTATCCACTCCTTTAATTCGGACTTTCCCTTTTTCCCTGCAGCATATATGCAGAACAGTTATTTGTAACTGTACAACTTATGATGGCATTGATGCCCTTCCAATTCCTTCTTCTATGAAATTATATCTGAAGGAATATCATTATAAATCAAAAGTTAGAGTACTCAGGATTGATGCCCCAGAACAACAAAGCTAGTAACAGGATAGGAATATGGGAATGATAACATATATTTTCATTTAGTATTTTATTTTTGTTATGCCACTTTGAATTTTTCTACGAAGGCAGTGGTGTCCAGAGAAATCTCTGCCCTAAATTTTACTTCTAAATCCATTTTTTTAATGATACACTAATTGTTTAAGGTTATACACTAGAGCCTAAATAGATATTTTTTAACCAGGTGTTTGGTTTTTGTTTTTACCGTGTAGATTGTATACTTAAATTTTTTCTTTCCTGAATTTATACATGATCCAGGCATATTTGAAATTTGGTAGGCATTGCAAACACATTTGAATATTCTGTATTTCATACTTTTCTTCAAAAGGTAATCTTATGTTTTTTCCTACATGTGAAATATTTTGTTGATCTATGCCAGTAGTATTATATAAAATATACTTCCCCATCCCCCTTTTCACTGAGTTTGACATTCTTCAGTAAAGCTGAATGTTGTAATTCACCATCCCTACTAATGTTATTGACTTTTATAACTTACCATTAGGGATGTTAAAGGTAACAAAACCAAGTCAAACTTGCTGTGTTTTCATTTTAAATATTAACTCTAAAGCAGGATTACTAAATTTGATTAATCTGGTTGATGAGAACCAAATGAAAACATAACATTCTGGAGGTGCACTTACTCTTCTGCAATATGGCTGGATCATTTGTCATTCCTAAATAGGTCTTTCTCCTCAACCTAGAGGAGTTAAACCATCTTCAAAACATAATCTTGTTTCTTTCTCACTGGAAGCTTTGAAAATAGTAATAACACTATTAGTAGCTAGTAGTTACTAAAGTGCTAAAGCAATTGTGGGGTTTTTCTGTATTAGCTTATGAACTGTTACTTCTATTTAGCCCTTTTATAGAAACTCTGAGCTGTTACTTTGGGGAAATTCCACAGTCTATAAGCAGCCGCAAATTTCCACTAGTAATCAAAGAGTACCTAAGTAGTTTTTTATTATTTTAAGTTGAACTTTGATAAAGATTCAAGAAATAAACATGGAGCTCAGTATTCAGGAAGCTTCATATTGTTTTTGATCTACAAGTTCCAAATAATTATCTCTATTTCAGAATTAACTTAGGTCTTTAATGTGGCTTCAAGAAAAAGGAAAGCCATTTGACAGCTACATGACTTATGCCATACAAAACAGTACTGGACAAAAGGGGTGATCTTTTAAATTTACTGTCCCAGAAACAGGGTAACATTTTTAGAAACATCTTTAACCCAAGGTAACTAGTAAAAATAAATGGAGTGGTATCCTAACTTCTTTTTTTAAAGAGTCAATGAATAATAAATGTAGACACAGTTTTTCTTCTGGTAAGCTGTCTAACCCTTTGTACACATTGGCTTTTTTAATATGGTAATTGACTTCTTGATGCTAGTTTAGCTATATTAGGAAACTGCTTCTACCTGGATTGAAAGAAATTGGACTCATAAACTTCCAACTTAGAACAATGTTTCTTCATTATTGCTTTTATGTGAATAGCATTTCCCTATCTGGCAGTTCTTCTGTTAACATGAAGATGACATTTTTCCAAAATAGCTTTGAAATAAATTTTTAGTAATTATTACAAAATTAAACAAGGAAAATCTCTATTGCCATTATCTTCTATCATTTATTTTTCCTCAGTGATCTCAAGATTGTCTTAGTCTCAATGAGATGTAGCTACAAAAATTGCACCTCTCTCAGCAGTGATGAGGCTCAGGATATCATAACACCAGTGTCAGGATAAATATCTCTTGTAAAGATGATACTTACCTTTTGCAATGTTAGAAAAGTCTCATACTACCTCATCTTTATTGTGGCGCTTTTGTAGATCACTGAGAAGCTTATCTTATTAACCGATATGACACTTCCTAAATATCCATCTTTGGTGAAAGAAAATAGTGTGGTAGACTACCCATGATTATAGTTTTTTATCAGAATTTGATAAGATTTTCTGTTTCTGTGAAACAATTATTTTAAATATTTTTCTTTTAAAAATAACTTTTTATCAGTACAGAAAAACCTAAGGGACGATTAGCTTACAACTATTCTGTTAAGGGGTAGTTTTATAAAGAAAAATGATATATAATTATGTTGTCTTTTATAGTGTTAAAATTAGTATTTATATGAAAGTCAAGATCTAAGTACCTTTTCATATAATTCAAACTGATTGCTTGTGATATGTTTTCTCTGGCTTTTTTATTTTTTCAACTTCAAGGTATTAACAGCTATTAACACTTAAAAATACTGCCACATATGTAGCCTTGAAGTAGATGGTCTAATAAATGAGAGCAGGGAAGAGATTCATTGACTTTGAAATGATTTTTATTTTTCCTTTGGTATTTGCTACAGTGAAAAGAAATTTGGAAAGTAGATATATAAAGACTTGAGAAGGGAATTTTTTAAGGGAAATAAGGGAAAATAAAAGTAATAATTTTTTTAAAAAACATTAAGGAATTGGAATTCAGAAGGGTTACCCCCATCCTCTGTGTCTTTGTGAGGATATACTTGGAAGAACATCCAGTATTCAGAAACTAACCTATACAAAATGTAAACAATACATTGGTTGCACTATATAATTGAGTAAACTTTGAGTGGAACAATGTGGGAACGTATAAATTTGTCTAAAATTTTGTAACTCTTTTGTTGAACAGTGGGAAGATTTGAAAAGTGTAAATTCCAGAGTTGAGAAAGCATTTAGCATGGTGGAAATGTGGGGAGCTTATTGATGAGAGAGAATGGAGCAAAGCGAAATAAGATCAAATATTAAAATTAGGAATTTAGGCATTACCTCAGGGAAAAGCCTTGACAGTGAAAAGAAACTACTTAATTGCTAATAGCTAGTCTGGACCAGACACTTAACTGCGCTTTGGGAATCTTCCTGGGCGAATCAGGAAATAAACTTGACTTTTCTATTTTTCTTTGAAGCTTTACAAGACATACTCCCACTCCCATTTTTTTCCTAAGCCTACAGCATCTTGATTCATAGTATAATTCCTGAAGTATGCTGAATGGACTTTTTAAGGTTCCTTTGGCATTTTTGTATAGAGTTATATGTGATCTATCTATAACCATGTCATTCACCTAAATAATTCATAAAGGGAATGGTTTAATTTAAAGGAAGACCTAATAGGAAGAAGATTAAAGGAAGCTTTTAGTCAGCCTGTGGCTAGATTTATTGATTTGGTGATCAAACCTGTGTTCTTTCCTGAATTTCAGCTAATGGCCAACTGTGGTCAAAGAATGGCTTTCAGTTAGTTTTGACTTCTTAATTATAAATAATATAAAGAATGTCTTAGTAATTAGAAATCCTTTAATAAGTAGAACAAATGTGGCAAGTAGGACTCCTATCATTACACAAATTCCATTTATTTTTATAAGAAAAACACATAAACCATTATCATTTATTCATGAGCCAAAGCCATTAAGCAGATAAATCCAGTTATCAGCTTCCTGTCTCTGAAGTTTGGATCATTTTATAGATCCATGCAATAGAGAGCTTCCTTCCTATGAAACAAAAACCTTGAGAGTTCTTTTGTTTGTTTGATTTGTTTGTTTGTTTGTTTGTTTTTTGAGACAGAGTCTCGCTGTTGTCGACCCAGGCTGGAGTGCAATGGCATGATCTCAGCCCACTGCAACCTCCGCCTCTCAGGTTCCAGCAATTCTTCTGCCTCAGCCTCCCAAGTAGCTAAGATTACAGGTGCCCGCCACCATGCCCAGCCAATTTTTGTATTTTTAGTAGAGATGGGACTTTACCATGTTGGCTAGGCTGGTCTCGAACTCCTGACCTCAGGTGAACCACCCACCTCGGCCTTCCAGAGTGCTGGGATTACAGGCATGAGCCACCGTGCCTGGCCAAGATCTAACTCTTATATTTATTTTTCATTAAAAAGATTTCTTGTCACTCTTAGCTATAATTGAAATCCAAGAAACAGCTTAAGCATTCATTTTGGTAAAGCAAATTTCAAGGAAAGTAAAATTATAAAACATTCCTGGAGACAACACAAGAAAAACAATGTTTAAATGTAGAATAGCCTGTGTAATGTTAGGTAATGTAATGCACAAGTGAATAAAAGATTTTAAGTCAAGCAAACTACTGTTTCTACTTTGGAGGAAAAAAGTCAGTTTTACATTTTTATTTTAAGGAAAGAACAGAAAGCACAAAAGTTTTTCTTTATTAATGGCCTACTAAATATAAACAGTGCAAGAGTCCACCTGTACTATTCTTATACAGTAAAATATTAGACACAAAATGGAGGTAACTTTTTTAAATACATTGGCTTGGAAGTTGAAATGCAGATTAGTGGATATAACCCAATAGGGATTTTCAAATAAAGCCAAAGTCTATATTTTTCTTTCTAATTTTGAATAGATTACTCAGTCCTAAATCTTCTTTGCGTTTATTTCCTATAAAATGTGGATGATACTTGTCACTCTACTTCCTGGAGGTTAATTTTTCAGCAAGAGGTGACCCTGGGAGCATACTTTAAAATAATTGCTGTACAGCCATTGAGTACTAATGTGATGATAGATTTTCAAAATACTTCCTTAGTGGACCCTGCAGAATCACATTCACTTCTCTTAGACTGTAATAGGCTTTCTTGGCTTGTTTTAATAGTAGAGATAGCAGTACAATTTGAATTTATGGTTTAGGCTCTGCAATTACAGGAACAATTGCAATTTCCTCCTATCCTTCATATGGTCTGTGTAAATCTGATGTTTGCCTAACTTATTTTAAAAGTTGATTACATTTTCAGAAAATAAAGATAATCACTTTTGCCATGGTTATAATCAAATCTAAGCTTTCAGACTTGAGAGCCATGGTGTAAAACTCAAGGAGGTTTACTTAAATTATGCTGACTTTGCTAGAATTGGATAAATTCTGTATAAGCCAAGTATGAGTTCATATGTACTCGAATATACAGTTTTCACAAAGCTATTACTCTTGTCATCAGGCTTGTATGATCTACTACTTACCACGAAAGAAGTAGACAATTGCCACTTTTATTTCTAATCCTTAAGTTGAATATTTCTTCTTTGATGTAAGTTCGAATAAATTGATCTGGATAAATTTTCATTTCTTCTTAATTAAAACTTCCTTTGTAAAATCCAAAGGCTTTGTGTCTTATTTTAAAACATTATTATATGTCTTTACTTCACACATTCAAATTAGAATCTGAAAAAGATAGAGAAATCCATATTCTTACATATTTTCTAATTTATAATACACTCCTTTAATTTTTAGTGTTTGGGTCTTCCAGAAGCTGATGCCAAGATGTGATTAGAGGTGCAAGAGATTTATTTGGAGTGAAACACCTATAAAGATAAAGGAGAAGGGAGCAGAAGGTGGGAATTTTTCATACCACACTGAAAGTCTTGACACCGGAAGGAAGGATTGGGTAGGGTGGGCCTCGGACTAAAGTGCACCCACCTTCAGACTGCTAGATGAGGACTTGGTTCCCAAGCAAAGGTTGCTTGTAGACAAGTCCACAGGGGACAGGAATGGCCTAGATCTAGACCCTCCCCGCAAAACGTGCTCAGCTACTAGCTGATTGCAGGCAAGGATAAGTTGGAGGCTATCCATTACTGGTACACAGCACCAGGACTAGGGTATGGTGAGACACTTGGGCACAAATATCTGACTAAAAGACTAAGGAAGACAATGTTTTGGTGCAATATTCTAAAATCAGAATTGATGCAAAAAAAAAAAAATATGATGAGCAAGATACCAAATTTAAAATCAAACCTGACCAGATTACTGACTTCCGGTTGCTTCAGGCTTCAGCATAGCTCCACACGGCACTGCTGATTCACTATCCAATGAGGACAGGGTAGGTCCACACTACTCGTGTAATTTTCCATAGGCCTGTGTACCCTTATCCAAAAATAAGACCCTTGGCTTAGGTATTTGGAGTTCCTCTGTTGCCCTGTTTTCAGTGTGAGAATTGTGTGTTATGGAACACATCCAGAGATGTCTTCCTTTAAACAAGTTCATAGTTAAATGTCCACCCACTGACCCACTAATGCCTTACACAAAGCAAGATGCAACTGTACAACATACTTTTAGGATATTTTTACATGTTAAAAAAATGTATATTGGCCGTGCACGTGGCTCACGCCTGTAATCCCAACTCTTTGGGAGGCCAATCACGCGGTTAAGAGATGGAGACCATCCTGGCCAACATGGTGAAACTCCGTCTCTGCTAAAAATACAAAAATTAGCCGGGCGTGTGAAGTGCGCCTGTAGTCCCAGCTACTCCGGAGGCTGAGGCACGAGAATCACTTGAACCCGGGAGGTGGAAGTTGCAGTGAGCCGAGATCACGCCACTGCACTCCAGTCTGGCAACAGACATGACACTCCGTCTCAAAGAAAAAAGTATATTGCATATATGTATATATTTTGCACACCATATAATTATCACATCTTCTAACCTAGTTAGTAGGTTCCTTGACTGGGGTCATCATGTCATCTGTGCCTGACACAGGAGATGATGTTTATTCAAAAATGAACATGAGGGCCAGGCGCAGTGGCTCACACCTGTAATACCAGCACTGTGAGAGGTCGAAGGGTGGGGGGGATCGCTTGAGGCTAGCAGGGTGAGACCCCATCTCTACCAAAAATGCAAAAATCAACCGGGTGTGGTGGCACACGCCTGTAGTCCCAGCTACCCGGAGGCTAAGATGGGAGGATCGCTTGAGACCAGCAGGCGGAGGCTGCAGCGAGCCGAGATCGCGCGACTGCACTCCAGCCTGGGTGACAGAGGCCCGTCTCAAAAACAACAACAACAACAAAACATGGGAGAAGAGGCACTGATGAGGAAAAATGTGCAAAGACAACACATGTCAATTTATCAAGCTAATTTGCAAACGTCTTCCCTTTCCTGAATTAATCTTTTCCCTCTCCCCACTTGTGGCCCAGTATGAGTCCTCTGGTCAGGCTGAAATCTGAACGCGTCCGTACCCAGCCTTCTTCGAGGCCTGGCTGTAAAAACCGCTGAGCAAAGGGAATTCAGAACCAGCCCTCAAGCCACTCAAGACAAGTTAGCAATTTCCGCCGGGCTTCCCTGAATATTGCAGGCCACTGGCGTTTCCTCCGAGTCCTCGGAACTCCGGAAACTCCGGGAGCTTTCAGCCCGCCCACCAGGGGAAAGAGGCCCCGGGCGGGGGCCCGGTGGATCCCAGCCCCCCAGGTCCGGCGGGCCGCAGTACCGCCAGAGGCCTGCGGGGGGCGCACGCGGCACGGCCCGAGGGGAGGGGGTGCGCGTGCGGAGGCGGTGCGCTTGGCGCTTCCTGTTCCGGCGCCAGGAGGAGTCGCGCGCTGCTGCTGCTGTTGCCGCCGCTGCTCTCGCCGCAGTCAGTCAGGCTGCGCCCGCTTCTTCAGGGCCCAGTCCCTCGGACCCATCGCCGCTTCTAGACCCTACTGCGGTCTCGGATCTTGCCGGGTGAGGCTGCTTCGGTACTAGTGGGAGTCGTGGAGGGGAATCGGGGAGCTGGGGCTGTGGATCCCGCGGGCGCGGCCAAGCGGGGAGCGGACGCGGTAACGGAGGTGCGTCGAGTTACGTCCAGTGCTCGGGCCGTGGTCGCCTCCCTGGGACCGGAGCTAAGGGGTTCTCTCGGTCGTATTCCACCACGCTGCGGGTTGCCTCCGGATCGCCCCCCAGGGAGAAGGCTTCGGAGGCCGCTGACGTCGCGGCCGACGGGTTTCTGGGCGCCTGACGTCAGGTCTGGCTGCGGGGCGGGGCGGGCGCGGGCTGGCCCCTCCCCCACTCCTCGGCGGGCGCGACCCGCTCCGAGGCCGGTTCGCTCTGGTTGATCCCGGACTCCCTTTGTTTGTGCGTCCCTAAAGGGCTGTCGGCCTCGTGCCCCTTGGCCCCGATTTCCTCTCTACCCACACTCCATTATACCCATTCATTAATTTCTAATAAAAAGGGAAAGGCCTTAAAAGATTCTAAGAATCTCGTACGCTTGTTAATAATCCGCAGTGTGATAACGTTCTGGTTATGACTTGCTAGAGGAATTGCTCACGGCTACATTAGGTGAATACCCAGGGCAAACCACGAGAAGGGCAGATGTTCAGTGATCTCCTTTTTTAGGACTGAGGCGCACATACCTACGACAGCTTATACATAGCTGGAGCATTTTCCTCTTTACCTTGAAAACCAAGAGTACAGCTTTTAGTAGGTAAAAGATTCCAGTGTTAAAGCATCAGGCCAGAATCACTCGACTGAAAATTTTTTTTTTACCTTTACTGCTAGAGAAATACACACTTGGGAGTTGTAAAGGTCTGTTTTGAAAACGAACCCTTATTACAGGCAAAGGTAGCCTTCAGAAACATTTCCTGAGTTCTTTGTTCAATGCTGTTCTTTGGGGGAAGAATAGAAATTTTTCATGCCGGCATCTCTGAGCCCGCAATGCAAAGCAAGTTTGCTTCAGAAACTTTTGGAAGGAATTGCAGATATTGGAATGTTCTGTTCCTCTTTCCAGGAGGAATGGATAATATCCATCCCCAGTCTCTTAGCTGAAACTCTTGAAGCTAGCAGGTTTTGATTTCAAAAATCCTTAGGTTTTATCTTTATCTTTTTAGAAAGACAACATATTAGACAAGAGATAACACCCCCAGCAGAGTGGGACACCGCATAACCCAACATTAATATTTGCCGAAATAGATGTGAACATTCATTCTAAGTGGGGCCTAATAGAAACTATAAATAGTCTCAGGTCAAGTTTTGCCACCATGTAAGTTTTCTGCCAAACTTGGGAAAGTTTCTTTCATTTTCAGAGGTCTCTGGATTGAGAAGAGCAGATAAAGATTTATGGACCTAAAAGTAGCCATCGTAAAAGCTAGTATCTGCTGAGTTATTGCTGTATTCCAGGGAGTGACTAAGAGATTTGTTTATCATCTAGTCTCACAGCAAATCTATGATGCAATCTTACTTTGCCTCAAGTTTGGAGAGTTGGACTTGTCAGCTCTGGTGGAACCAACTAGCGAAGAGCTGAAGTTTTAGCTAGATAGCCATACATTAGCATTCACTCTTTTACCTGTAAGCTAGATATCCATATACAAAGAAAGACAAGAGAATTTGGTACTTGTTTTCCACCCAAGCACTATTTTAGGCACTTGGCTGGGCAGAGTCCCATTTAGTTCCTCATAACATTACTGGCCTTTTTTTTTTTGGACTGTGTGCTTTTCACAAATAGTATGGCCTGTTCTTTATAGTTGAAGAAGCAGGTTCATTCAGATGAGCCGACTCTTAGTGAAATAAGTCAGACCTTCATCTAAGGTCTCTGCTAAGACTTTCTTAGGCCTTCTCTTTCTTGCTATTTTCTAACCAATCTGAATGCTTATACTTCCCCACAGATTCTCCCAGTTTTTACACTAACTGCTCTTCTTTCCCTCGGTCCCATTTCACCACTGGGCATAATTCTTCTCCCAGCTTTTTTTTTTCTTTTTTTCCCCACCTGGGTACAGGTGGGCTAAGGCCGAAAAGGGCGTTAGCCTTCTCCCAGCTTTTATGATCCTTATAGACTGCTAAAGACATCACATCTCAGGAATCTCCATGCAATACTACTGATTTCTCTAAAGCCCAACACATCGTTTGGCACATATAGTCCAATAAGCATATAACTAAATGCCAAGAAATATTGCAGGTTGCATATCCCTTATCCCAAATGCTTAGAATCAAAAGTGTTTCAGATTTGGGGATTTTTTTTTTTTTTAATATTACACAGGTTGAGCATCCAAAATCCCCTTTGAGTGGCATGTTGGCACTCAGAAAGTTTCAGATTTTTGAGCATTTCAAAACCCCATTTTTTGAGTTGCCTAAATGTAAAAAATACAATCAGATAAATGAACCAATACTAAAAACTAGCATGTACTCTACCTAAATTATATATATACATCTGTATATATATATTTNGACCAGGATGGTCTCGATCTCTTGACCTCGTGATCCACCCGCCTCGGCCTCCCAAAGTGCTGGGATTACAGGCGTGAGCCACCGTGCCTGGCCAAAAGCCTTTCTTGAGTATAAATTTTCTTTCATGAGTTCAAGGTTACATTGGCCTCATTGTAATAACTTTTTATTTATTTATTTTATTCATTTTTCTTTTCAAGACAGAATCTCACTATATTGCCCAGGCTGGTCTCTAACTCCTGGGCTCAAGCGATCTTCCCACCTCAGCCTCCTGAGAAGCTGGGATTACAGGCACCCACCGCCACACCCAGCTAATTTTTTTGCATTTTTAGTTGAGACGGGTTTCACCATGTTGGCCAGGCTGATCTTGAACGCCTGACCTCAGGTGATCCACCTGCCTCAGCCTCCCAAAGCGCTGAGATTACAGTTGTGAGTCACTGCGTCTGGCCAATATTTTATATTTTCAATGATACATACCATCCCCCCACGCTAGACAAATCAACCCAAAAATTCTGATTTCACTTAGTTTCGCCTAATAAATATCTAAATTTATGTGGCACTTTATAGATTAAGTATGTTACTGTTAAATTTTTATGCAGTGGGTAGGAATTATAACTTCCACAAATGGGAAAGTGGTGTCTTATTGAGAAGTTTATTTTTGTCAAAAGATGCCATCAAAATGATTGATGTCCGGGTTTCATCACTGTGTAGTCCCACACTGTTTATCACTCCATCACAATTTGAAGGCTCTCTGAAATATCCATGAACTCCACTAGTAATTCATGGAGTTCAGCTTTTTACCCTAACAGCCATGAGAGTTTCCAAAACATTGTTTTAGTCTTCTAGTGTATGTCAAAAGAAATTTTGTACTGTTTTAAAATTACTATTCTTACTGCTCAGAGAATAAAAATTATTTTTCAGATGATGGGTGGATCATGCTATAAGATAGTAACAAAGTTTTGGAAGTAATAGCTTTAGATTATTCCAAAAAAAAAAAATGAAAGCCTTTCTCTTTTTTTTTTTGAGATTGAGTTTCGCTCTTGTTACCCAGGCTGGAGTGCAATGGCGCGATCTCGGCTCACCGCAACCTCCGCCTCCTGGGTTCAGGCAATTCTCCTGCCT